TTTTGGGGAAGAACGGGAAGGGGTTTAATTTACTTTCTTTAAATTTTACTATTTTTGTCATTTTATTATTATTTTTTCCTTAGTTCAATCATTTCTTAGGCTAATTTTTTATGCTCACGCTCGTTGCATGCGTGAATTACACGTTTGTTATCCAACTCAGCCATAATGTTGTCACATATGATTGGTCAACGGTCAGAGAAGTTTAAAATATAAGTTTTGATAAAGTAAAAGAGTTTGGATAAAAACAAATTAAGTAAAAGGATCGGGATGACAAAGTGACACAAGTATAAGTGTCATTTAGGCTATTCTGCATATAAGAAATTCACGTCCTATATAATTTTTTAGAGTAACTAAAGAAAACAAGAAAAATCTTGACAACTAAATATGTAGAAAAGGAAAAGCTCCTTCTTTTCCATCATATCCTATTTTTTATTCTATAGTAAAAAATTTAGGAGTCATGTTTGTGTATCTTCCTAATTATTAAATTTGGTTAGACTTAAAAGTATATCGGATGTAAGATTGATAATGACGAACCATTAATATTTGAGTTTAAGAAGTTCTCATAATATAAGTTTTTATAAAAATATGTCCCGGTCAAACCTTGTAACTTATAGTATGGGTTTGGACGATATTTACTTGAAATTACAAAATAATATTTAAAAGTTCAGTTAATTTGGACATATAATATTTCAACTTCAACTTGAAATATTATTTGTAGAATAACATATGTGTTTATTTTTGGTTCGTTATTTATACTTCGAAGAATGAAATAGAATTTTAAATTAATATTTCGTTTGAAAAGTATTTCTCATTAAGGGAAGTTCATAACCGGATACAATTTGAAAAAAAATGAATTTAACTTGATAACAAATTTTAAATTAATTAATCACCACATTAAATTTTTATCGGATAATACAACATGGCCCAAATAGTCATAATTATTTGGAATCATGGTATATTAGTGTCACAAATCAATTATCCGGTTAATGATTTGTTCACAACTCTCATTTATTAATTTAATATCCATTGGACCCAGAGTATATTTATCACCAATATGGCAATATTGTTAGGACCGAAAAAATTAGGTGTCATACGGAAGCTAGCAAAATAAAACTTGAACGACGATAAATCATACAACAAAGAGAAATCTACCAAAAGAGACACAAATATATAACGTGGTTTGGTCAACTGACTTACGTCCATGGCGGAGATGAGCAATCCACTATATAAAAAGAAAGTATAAAATATTGAGAACAACCTCACGAAGAGGCAAACACAAGTGACACACCAACACTGTCCCGTAAAGTTTTTCCCCTAAACACGACTCTTGTTAAGTTTGGCTTTAGTATTATTTCACTTGTATTTTTGGAGTGAAATAAAATATTGGTTGTGTCCGAGGAGTAAGCAAAATTAGCCGAACCTCGTAAATTCTGGTGTTCCCTTTATTGTTGCTTTATTGTCTTATTTATTATTTGGTGGCTGTCATAATTTTTTGGTATAGTAGTTGTGACTTATTCACACTATATACATTTGGCTTCCGCAACAACTCTCAAACCCCATATGGCTACGTTGTGGATGCTAATGAATGAGAATGATGGATCCTCAATTTATAGAACTCGAAACTTTTTTCTACAAGAAAAATGACTAGCCAAATATAGGGGAATTATAATTTCCTTCTACAAGAAGGAAAACCCAATTAAAGTAATTATATTGTCCTTTTTGTTCAAGAGATAGAAAAACTAAATATGATAAGAAAATCAAGATAAACACCTAACAAATATCTCTAACTAAAAAACACTTACTCAAAGGGAGAATTAAATCTTTGACTAATTATTGTGCTTATGACATGGAAAACAGTATTAAACGAGTTTATCATGGAAATAAAAATGTACTTACTTTAACAATTTAAGTTTTAGATGAGATGACTGTACATTTAAATATGGTATAAGAGCATAGATGTTAGATTTGTATCTCACCGTTAACATTACCAAAAATAAAATTCATGTGCTTGGTCCATGAAAAAAATAGGGCTCCCACGTGAGGTGGCGTGCCGAAAATATAATTAAGTGGTAATCCCTGACTCCTTAAATTTTTAGATGAGAAAAGTATTGATATGTCTCTCTTTAAGTTTAACTTAATTTTTAGGGTAATAGTAAGTTTTAGGTTTTAGGATCAAAATGACCATTTATTGCAAATAGTAAGGACTATTTCTGTTAAGAGGTATATATCAAGGACCAAATAGTCCAGTCCTATACATTAAGGACCATTTCGATCATTCTTTCTTCCATCCTTCCATTTTTTTTAAATAAATTTTTGGAAAACCAAAAAAGCGCGCCGTTCCCATTCTGCTTAACCCTCGCCACGGCATCAGTTCAAATTGCTGCTTGAAACGAAAAGATTTATCGATTTTCTCCGGTACGTTTTTAATTTTAGGTTTATTTTTTTTCAACTTTATTTGACAATCTCGTTCTCCCTTTTTTCCCCCATAATTTTGTACATTGTCAAATTTTTCAGTTAAGTGTAGTAATTTGTATTTTATCTCCGACGAAATTGCGGCCATTGTTTTCTATATTTTATGCTCGAATCATAGCTATATAGCTACTAGTATGATTTGAAATCCTTGACTAGAAACCTGCTCTGTAGCTTGTAGTTGTGCAGGGCAAACTCGTCCAAAATTGTCTGTTTAATGCTTTTATCGTCACAGGGAATGAAGTTGTTTAAAAAAACCCTACACGCTTCTGGAATCAATATAGACTAGCAAACGACAGGGCACAATGGAAGAAAAGGATTCATATAAGTGATGAATAAGTTTTAGTGTTGTCAGTGAACTTCCAAAATTATTATTGTTATTATTACTACTATTATTTAATATTAACATATTTTTTTACTTTTATTTTATTTAGTATGATGATGACATTAGTTAGAGCTTAAATGGAGAAGTGAGGATCATATAGTCACCCCAACTTATTTGGGACTAGGCGTAGTTGTTGTAACCGAACCTAATTTTCATACATGTTTTTGGTGTAACATTCTTAATCTTTATGGGGTTTGGGGCAGAGGCGGACCCACCTTGTAGGTTAAGGGGTCATGGGACCTCTCTAGCCTCGGCAAAAATCTCGTATATATATATGTGATATATATCTATACATATATATGGGACCCCTCAAATATTTTGCTTGCGCCCCCAAATACAAAATGCTGTACGGGAGAAGTGGTGTTGCACGCTAAAGTTCCCTGCTTAGCTTGATGGACGTGTGATCGAAACCAGCTTCCGCTTTTCTCCTCCTCTCTATTTTAGTTCTTACCTTTTCTTCTATTTTATATTTTAATTCTTTGAATACAAGGTAATTTATACTTAGCAAATTACTTTATTTTTTACTTTTATATTTTTTTGGAATTCAATTATAGTTTAGCACTAACACATAATAGTCTACTTAATTAATTTTTCTTTCTCAAATTCCTCCCTTAAAATTAAAAGCCTCAAATTGATTATTAACATGCCCTTAATATTGATTTCTTTAGTAAGTTTTTGATAATTTAAAGTTTGAACGTCTTTTTGATCACTAACCCCTTCTTTAATTAAAACTAGAAATTTTAAAGTGTGAGACATGCTTAATCAAATACCTTCCCTTTTTATAGCACCCATTTTGCGAAGAAATCTCTCTGTTAGGTGCTTTTTTTTTCCTTTAGAATTTTAATTTGTTTATATTTGGATGATAAGTCATCATAATCATTAAGTTTTAAAAGAGTTTCACGTCGAATTTTATCGTTAGTAATTAGCATACAGTGGTTCCCCCGTTGTACTCAAATCCTGGGTCTGCCTCTGGTTTGAGGTAAGGTCTGCGTACACTCTACTCTCCCCAGACCCCACTAGTGGGATTTTACTGGGTATGTTGTTGTAAATAGCATACAGTGGTGCCCCCGTTGTACTCAAATCCTGGGTCCGCCTCTGGTTTGGGGTAAGATCTACGTACACTCTACTCTCTCCAGGCCCCACTAGTGGGATTTTACTGGGTATGTTGTTGTTGTATTCTTAATCTTTATGGTTTGAAGTTGTGAAATGCTATGTTGCTGGGACTCTCCAAAAATGTTACTGTGTGTGCGGATCCTCCAAAAGTAGTGCATTTTTGGAGGATCCCACATGGGTGCGACAACAGTTTGAAGTGTCCGCGCAACATAGTTGAAATAAAAAACCCTAGCTGCACTAAATCTTTTGTGAAGGTTTTTTCTCCTGTTCTTTTTCTTCTCTTCGTATTTTAAGTTCCACTAAAGTTATATGTTAATTAACGAAGTCTTAAATAGATAAGTATTTGAATAAGTGAGTCCTCACTAACTTAAGCGATTTCGATCACCTAGTAGGCCTTTTATTTGGTAGAAAACATTGCCAAAGTGTATCATCAGATTTGACTACGAAGGAAGGAACTCTAAGTGAAAGAGCACCGTCATGTGTAAAAGAAAGTTGAAATAAAAAAGAAAGAACGAAATAGTGGGCCATCTTTCCTGATAAAGGCCCCTTCTCTCATGTCACCATTCTTATACTCCCGGTTGACTGCTCCATGACGGGCTTCCCTCTTTCCTTGGCGCTCTCATCTATGCTTCAACCCGACAAGTGATAATTGAAAAATGATGTTTCCTTGCCTGCTTTAAGATTTAAAACTTGTCGAAAAAGTGAATCAAGATCTAGATAGATCCCTATCTTTATCTGTATCCATGAAGATACTTATCTATAGGAGTATAATGATAGATCTATCTACAAGTTGGCCTAGACTATCCTCTATCCGGATAGATATGTCCCTATGAGCGACTATGCCGATCTTTATATGTTTTGGCCGCGTCCCTTTCCGTCAAAGAAGGTTTGGATCTTTAAATCTTGTGTGGTGAGGTATGTGAACCTATGTTAGGTCCATAAGATACTATAGATTTTGGTCTTTTATGATTCACCTTGAATCATGACTAGGTAGTTCGATCCTTTTATTTTTATCTTTTGCAAAACTGATGGAGGAATGCAGAGCAATAGGTTGAGTTACTAATTACTATATAAAAAAGAGTTATAAACTATATGACATCTTGTTTGAGTAGGAAATTTTCGGTTTTTCTCGTTCCTTCTCTTCAATAAGAATAGGAATTTGAAATGATACAATATCCTCTTCATTCGGTTGTGCTCAGCGAAAGAACTACCTAAGAATACTTTTCCTGATCCAAACTTCTTTGTCCTTTGTTCTCCTTGCATAGAAAGATTGCAACTGTTGCAAAAACTGGGATTTTTAGTATGTAGAAGATCTCTTTATTTCTTCATTGGTTTCTCGCATCATTTTCCTGAAAGGATATATATCACCGTGGATGTGGAAGAGTTTAAATTACTGTGGTATTACGTCAGAAGTTAGTTATTTCTCATGTCTTTGGCTGTATTGGTTTTGACAAACAAGAGGGTTAACTGCACTTCTACAGTTTATAGTTTCTGTCCAACGTAATTTCAACCATTGTTTTCTATAATTAAGGGAATTTTTTCTGCTTGAATTATAGCAATTTCATTACTAGTATGGTTCAATTCCGTCACCAGAGACATACTCTGTATATGTTTTGTGTTTGATGTTTCTATTGTAACAACTGAACATAATTTTCGTAAGGGTTTTTGGTGTAACACTCTGAATCTTTGATGGTTTGAAGTTGTGAAATGAAAAAAATTCTAGCTGCACTTACGCATCTGCGAAGAGTTTCTCTTTTTCTTTTTTCTTAACCTTCATCTTTTTACTTCTGCAGTTCCACTAAACTAAAATGTTTATTATTGCCGTATTAAGACCAAAGTAGTTATTTCTCATGTCTTTGGCTGTATTTGACAAACAAGTAGTTTAATATCACTTCTACTGTTTTCTGCATTCCCTAGTTTTGAGGTTTTTCTTGCTTTTAGATGGTAACATCTGTTGTAATGACTATTAGTATCCATATAACACTATGTGAAAGTACTTGCTATATAATGTTGGTCATGGATGAAGTTATGTACTGCAGTAACTGGGAATATGATTGTTTCTAAGGAGCTTTATTTTTCTTTTTTACTTCTTCTTTCCTAAGTGTTGTTTTGTCAGGGAGAGGGAGAGAGACAGTGAGAAAGGGGGTAAAATGGACGTCGCGGAAGCTGGGTCTTCACTCGATTCTTTAGTATCATCATTCAACGCTCGCATAGCGGAGATTCAACAGCTTGTTGTAGCTCGGAACAGTAATTTATCTGCTCCACTTAAGCTTGTCGAAGTTACTTATTATTCCTGATCTCAATTTTTGTGCAATCTGAACAGTGTATCCAGCGAGCAGCATTTCAGATTTGTCAGCTGTTGACTCTGTACTGACGGCCTTGGAGCTACAGCTCCACAAAATAAAAATCCGGATGCGTGAAGAAACTGAAGCCATCCCCAAAGCCAAGGTATCTGTCTCTCTCTCTCTCTCTCTCTCTAAACATATGTCTATATCGCCAATTCTATTTAAGCAAGGATTATCTTAGGCAATCATCCATTTCCAAATCCATGGAATTCAAGACCTTGGATGCTTTCTGTTTCTATGTAGGAAATGTTAATTGATTCCCATTACTGTTCTTTCTAAAAAGTCTGAAATTTGTTACTGTCCAAGTTATGACTCTGTCTACAATCTAGTTAGTGCATTTTATGAAAATTTGGACTTTTTGATCGGTGTTTTCCTGAACCATACTATCGAGCTAATGCATTTGTTATAGGATACACAGTCCTCTGTGTTTTTGGTCCACCTTGTTTTTGGAAACCAAAGGCGTGGTATTGTTATACATCATATTTAAGTTGTAAACAACAGTTGTAGATGCAATAACTCGTCGTTTTTTGGGCTGCTGCTTCTGGCTGCAGAAGCTGATAGAGGCATCGCTGCGGCAGCAAAAGAAATTGCAAAAGTTGTCTGCTGTTGTTCCATCATATGTTCCTCATAGAGTGACCAAAATAACCGAGGATGCTACTAAATGGTAACATTATGTACTATGTAATGAAATATCTTTGCTAACATGCGGTCCTTACTCCATACTCCTCAAGAAGATTCATTTGTTCTGACTATGGATGTGTTTCGTATAGTGTACGTCCAGAGCCCAGCGGTGAGGATCTTGGTTTTGTGTCTATGCAACTTGAGGAACCTGCACCCAAGGTAATGAGCTCTCTTAAATTCTCTAACCCTCTATATCTGCATGATTGCTTCTGTTCGAAAAATACAAGTTACTTATTATGTTTCCTCTTTAGCTTGATAAGTGGACTGCCGACCGTGTCCATCATATTAATCTGGTTAAGTAACAGGGAGGCCCAAGTGTAGTGTCTGATTGCATAAAGGGTGAGATTCACTTTTTTTCTTAATTGGCCCAGAATAATGGAAAATCAAATCATTCTAGAATCGGGAATGTGTTCTACTCATTCAATGAATTCATTGCGTGAGTAGGACCTCCCAACGTGGTCTGTGCGCAAAAAAGAAAAGGACTCCCAAGAGTGACACAGATTATGCACCCTGATTCTAAGATGAGATAATAGTGATCAAAGAATGCAATTTATCATTCTTCATCTAGTATGAAAGACATTTACTGTATGATTCAGTTATTCACTGTTTTGGACAGCTTCAAATGGATTTCCAGTACCAAAATAGACATGCAACGATCTCACCCTATATTTTGTTGATTTCAGGAGAAAAAAGGCCGTGCCTCCCCGCCACTGTTCTACGTTAATGCTGATGAACTGAATTCAGTACCACCGTAAGTGCTTTATAACTTTTTTTTTTGGTTTAAATCAAGTAGAGAGAATTTCATTAAAATGCATCAGCGGATGCCAAAGATTACAGCAGCTGAGAAAAAAAAAAAAACTTAGCTTCTGTTTACCAGTGGATACTAGTAAGTCAAGGAGCTAACAAAATCCATGAATTTATCTAAGCTGTTTACTTTTTCGAGTTTACTCCAAAAAAGATTCGTTAGACATCTAACCTTAAGTGTGTTTATAGGAGAAACCACACCCTCAAAACATCTGAGGTTTCTTTCTTTCCAAATACCCCAAAAGATGTAGGCCAGTATCATTTTCCATACCTGTTTTATAGCCTTTCCAGCACTCCAAAGCCCCTCGCTAACATATGCATCTTTAATGCTGTAAGGCATTACCCAGCTAATACTCCCAAAATTAAAAAAATTAGTCCGCATGTCTCTGGCAACTTGACTGTGAAGGAATAAGTGACTGATGTTTTCTGATTCTTGTAGACACATGTTGCACCTGCTGCATACTATTATACCCCCGTTTGAAATGTTTTCATGTGCTAGGCAAGCTTCCCCGATTGCTAATCAGCTGAAACAGGCAATCTTTGAGGGAAGTTTAACTTTCCACACAAATTTCCAAGGCCAAATATCAACAATATTGCTGTTGGAGCATACTTCAAGTAGCATGATTTGCAGAATATGCAATGTCCTGGTTGAGTCATCTAGTGAGAACTCCTGTAATCTTTCCAGTAGCACTCCCAGATCATCTATGCTTCTCGGTCTTTTCAAAAATGAAACTCAGTGCGTGTCGGATCCTTCAAAAGTAGTGCATTTTGGAGATCCGACACTGGTGAGACAACATTTTTGGTGAGTCCCAGCAACATAGCAGATCATCCACCTCCCAGTCTTGGGAATTCCTTCTGAATGTCAGTTTCCAAAAATTCTCTTCCCTGCATTGGCTAATTGTTGCTTGGGGCAGTACACTTAACCGGTATAGTCTCGGAAATTCTTCCTGTTATGTACTATTGCCAGCCATCTATCTTTCCAAAATTTAATAAGTTCTCCATTTGCCAGCTCTAAAATATGTGTACCTGGAGAAGTCTTCCCAATGTCTGTTTATGTGTTTCCAGGGGCCAACACGATGAGATGCGATACTTTGTTGTGCCAGTAATCTTGCTCCCCATGCCTAGTTTTGATAAGCTTTCTCCAGAAAGAATCTTCTTCATTGCAATAACTCCAGTGCCATTTCATGAGCAAACAATTATTATAGATTGCCAGATTCCTCACTCCTAGGTCCTTAAGCTGTATAGGTCTGATTACTTTGTGCTATCTGACCAAATGATACTTGTGTTGAGTGCCACTGCCTTCCAGGAAGAAATTCCTTCTAATTTTATCAATTTGCTTTGAAGTTTTATTGGGGATAGGGACTGAAATATGTTGGAAATTGGAATGCAGTCCAACACATTGTTCAATGATATCAATCTACCCCCCATTGACAGATATTGCCTTTGCCAAGTAGGCAATCTTTTCTCTACTTTCTGCATAACACCTTGCTATGCTTGTGTTTATCTGAATTTCGCACGCAATGGTAGGCCTAGATATGCGGTGGGCAGAGTACCAGACTTGCAGCCCAAAATTTCTGATAAATCCTGCAAGTTTTGTACAGTATTGACAGGGAAAATAGTATTTTTGCCCATGCTAATGTGTAAGCCTGATTTAGCTTCAAAGATGAGCAATATCAAGCTTAGATAAACTTGAAGAGGGATCCGCTTCACTGAATATATGTGTCTTCTGCATAAAACAGATGGATGTTTCCTAACTTCTCTAAGGCAACAATTCTTGTGTACCTTATACAGAAATGTAACCCCAACCCTCTACCCTCCTGCCCGAATGCCCGAGGGAGGGAGGGAGTATATGCTGATTTCTTTTACTGCTTATGCATCATAAACACTATCTCGTATATATTTTCTGACAATAAGGAATGCAAATTGCAGGTATATGAAACAACGACTCACTTTGGAAAAAGTCAATGCAGCAATAGATGACATGGCTACTTACGCTGAAGCAACTGCTCAGCTTCTCAAGGCCCCTCATAGAAAGGTTGCTCTTTTGTCAATTTGATTACATAATTTCACTCGAAACTTGATATTACTCAAGTGCTGACTCCTTTATTTTTCCTTCTGAAGCTCACAGAAAATCTTGTGGAGAGAGCCATGGTTAGTAAACTGAATCTTCCCTATTTAATAACATTCTTATAACTAAATTTGGGACACCACATATTCAACAGGAATTGGAACTTCGCCCTTGTAAGTTAAATCTGCAGAATTAAGCCTCACCAGTGTTCGCTGCAGTTCTATTTTCAACCAGAAATATGATTTATTCTATGTAATGTTCACATGATCACATATTGAGAGATGGACCCTTCTTCTTTGGGATATCTACACTAGCCAAATTTGTCCATATTATTTGCAGAATGTTGTGGCTGGTCTTACCTACCAGACAGCGGCGGTTTGAGTGTTCTGATCTGGATAGGGTTCTCATTCTTGTGGTCTATATATTATAGAAGGAATCACTTTGGAGAAGACCGAAACTCCTACAGAAGTGTGAATTTTCTTTGCTAGGGCACCTTTGGAATCCTGAGGCAGCTGAGGGATGGAGTTGGTGATAAAACTTGTGTGGCACCCCATGAATGGAATTACTTGCAAATAGCTATGATAAAGAATGTATGTGGCACCCTTTGGATTAGTAGAGTCTTGAGACGCAAGTATTGTAGGGATGAGGTGTCTAAGACTCGATCTTATCCTTGCGACCATCAAATATTCCTATCTATGCTCTTTTTGCTTGATGCATGTGTCTGCAAGACATAATGTCTAAAAGGACCCCCTTCAGCCTTAATTCCTTTACGCGATCTAATTAAGATATTAGCTATATATGGACTATATATAACCAGTCTGGCTTATAGTATGTTATGTTCCTTGTGATTTGTTGCTGTCAGGAAGTGGATCATTTGTTGATTAAATTTGACGTGCTTGAACAACATAAAGCTACTCACCTTTTGCAGGAACTAAAAGAAATTGCAGCAACAGAAGCAGTTAAAGGAAAGCATTTCTTTCTTGAAAGTGACATCAAAGGACCTTCACTGAAGCATGACCATACTGGGAGAGCAATACTAACTGTGAGTTGTTCTACACCAAGTGTATTTGCATTTTGACTCGAATCATTATTCCTTCTCAATTTTCTAAAAGGAAGGTTAGCTTTTAAGTTTTTATTCAGTTCGCTATTCTTTTCAGCGTGAAAATATTGTTTAAGAAATCAATCTCTTCAAACTTTTTTCTATTCAATTGTTCTTTTGCTACGTCACATTTGACAAAATTGATGTAGGATTGTGACTCCTTTCTGATTCATGCTTCAACAAATAATCTAAGCATTAGATTTTGTTTGACCATCAGTTTAGTGGATTTTGTAATTAGTTTTAGTGGATTTATGTTGGCTTGATTCATTCGCTTGACAATGCTTTTCGTGCCCCAGAACTACAGCAGCTTCACATTGAAACCTATCCGATATACTTGGTTTGACCACCAATCGTAAACCCCCCCCTCTCTCAAAATTTAATACAAGCAGCTCAAATATGCATGCTATCAACATCACTATTCTCCTGTTCAAAGCACTTTGTACAGCACCACCAATTATACATGCTTGGGCTCACAAACTAATGACTCGACCATATTTATGCTTACACTAATGTAAGTTGTCACTGGCAGGTCCTCCGACACCTTGGTCGTATAAGTGAAACGCGAGTTGGTCATCACCGTGTGATTCTACTTTTGAGGCCCCACTGAGTTTCAACTTGATCAGGTAGTTAGGTACACACCTGCATGCGGCGACTTCTTTTTGACTGGCCACATTCAAGCTCTTTTGAAGTGTAGACTGGTATGCAGAGAAACATGTTGCTGTTTACGGTTCAAAATTGTATGATATTACTGAAGAGATTTGACAATGCTACAATTTGGAAAATCAGTTTCTGCTGAAATTTTTGGTTATTCCTTGCTTTATACGATCTTTCAGAGCCTAAATTTGAAGTTCTGCAATGACATCTCATTTAACCATATACAGTGCAGAGATCTATATAGGACTATGGCTGGAATTTGATCATCTCATGCCAGATCTAGAAATGAAACATTTCATGCAATATAAACTTATGAATATCACCCATAACATTAAATAAAGCAAATATGAACCCTTAAATAATGCCACTTATCCTAGCTTTCAACTCGATTATAAGAGTTACTGCAAAAAAGAAGCTACTACTTGTTTGGTTCTTTCTGTCTATTATTTGTGCTTAAAACTCAGAAGATTTTCTTAATTAATTTATCACTCTATCAACCTCAGAAGACAGTCTTTTCAGAAGAATGTTTGCCTTAATATGCTTCCAGGAAATATAAACAAATTTGTACGTTCTGTAGTCTGATATTTCACAATATTTCATTTAGTACTGATACAAAGTGAATGAAGTATACAAGCAGAATCGACTCTCACATAGTAATACTGTAATAATAAGAAATATAAACTTAAACATATGAAGAAATGAAGCTCATATTACTTCCTAGCTAGTTTCCTTAAAAGAACTTTAAGATCATAAAAACATACTCCCTCCGTTCACTTTTACCTGGCACGTTTTGATTTTTCACGCCCCTTAAGAATAAATGAAGTATATAATTTACCATGATACCCATATTATTTGATGCATATTTTATTGGATTTGAGAAAATGATTTGAAATGAGTAATAAATACTGTAGGTATAACAGGAAAAAAAATTGTCTCTCTTGATATGTATAAAGTGATAACTAAAAATAAAAATCAATTTTTAGTATACATGCCAAGTAAAAGTGAACGGAGGGAGTACATATCTAGCCTAGAAATGGATTCATGTTATTTTCTTGTTTCGTTTAAATTTTGTGATCACAACCACCTCAATATCCAGTCTAGGAGTGTCAAATGGGCAGGTTGAGCTGATACTGGGCGGGTCACGATGGTTGAGTCAAAAAATGGGCGGGTCATTTCACTTGAGCTGAAATGGACTGGGTCAAAATGGGCTAAAATTTGGGTTATAGCCCAATTCGGCCAACTCTTATCAAGTTTTAATTAATGTGTGTTATTTTCTTATGAATTATTTAATTATCAGGTAAGATTTTTTTTCTTTTGTTATGGTCATATATGACATAACAAAAAATAAATAAATATATATTTTAAAGATATTTTAGCAAAGTTATAATGGATCAATTTTGGCTAAAAATCAGCCAAACTTTAGATGGGATGACGCGTTGGGTCAAGATGGTTGAGTTCAACAATGGGCGGGTCAATGACCGGACCAACCTTGGCCGAGTTAAATGAGTTTGTGCTCAAATTGCCACCCCTAATCCAGCCTAGGTAGCAAGTTGCTACTAGCAACTTATGTCAATATAATGAACAGTGCAAATCATTGAAGACAAAAAATTAAATAAATAGAGTTATAATTTCTCTAATAATTTAAGCTTTTAAATGAGATTAACGGTTACACAATGCGACATGAAGTATCGTCCTTAGTTTTGTTCTTTCCTGTGTTATATATACTTCATATACAAACATTTCATGAAGCTCAAAAATATATACTCTATTAGATTTTTAAGGGCCTAAAGCAATAGTATTGGTATCATAAAATTGGTAACGCGTAAATGGATGAGCTCATAGAACTCATGCTCAATTTCCATTATAAGTTGAATATAAAATAATTTGATAATAACATATTCTTAACTAAAGTTATGGGGTTGGCCTTGAAAATAATGTCGATTTTCAAAAACGAATACCATACATACCTAGTGGGAGACCAAAAATAAGATATAAAGTAGTCTTCGAGACGTAGTGCTATAAGTTGAAGTTGAATTATCAAAATGTAAAAAGAGCCACAAATTAATTTATATGGCCCATTTTTTTTTCCTAGAACACTCGTCTATTTCAACTTAAAGATGAGCTTAAATAGTACGACATGATCTGCGCTCAATTGTGAACAGGAGGGTGAGTTCTTGCTGGTAAGTAGTCCAAATTAAACTCTGGCTTTAAATTGGGGGATTTGTATCTATACTCGCTTTTTGTGTCACGTTTTAACTTGTACCGCTTTGCAAAACAAAAAAAATTGCAAGCGTATCCGGTTTTTCGCATAACTTCAGCATACGGGGCTGAAGTAGCAAAGGCAATCACGCAAAATTTCAGCATTCTAGTAGCCGGGCATGAAGTTCAGCTCTAGAGCTGAAGTTTTTGTTTTGTAATTGGCGAAGTTTTTGTTTTGTAACTGGCGAGAGCTGAAGTTTTTGTTTGTAACTGGCGAGCTGAAGTTTTTGTTTTGTAACTGGCGAACCTGAGCTGAAGAATGTTTGCCAGAAACCAAAAGTCCAACCAAGTAGATAATCCAGACTTCCAGATCTGACAGTTTCTACAACACTGACATGCAATCTCAGAATAAAAAGATTAATGGTCTATCTAAAGAAAAGGGCTGAAGCGAGGCTGGGCTTGCTTCAATCACTTAAATAACATGTCGTCTGGTTCAAAAACAAATTGTCAAAACTCTAACCATCAGTGCAAAATCCAAACTTCAAAACATTCTCCCAATCTCTGCTAATAACATCTCTTTCTAACATATGAAGGTACACAATATCGAAGAAAGGAATGCAAGGAAGCACTATATGGGTAATTAAAACGAACAAAAGCTCCATCACCAACAACTTTCTTTTGGTTTTTATACAAACGCTTATTCTTCATCCTCCTCGTCACCTTATGCTATGGTTCTGAGGAATTGAGTGAAGCCATAGAAGGAGAGATATTGTTACATCAATGTTAAGTTCCGGAGAGATATGGAGATCACTGGGAGAAGAGGAGGAGAAAGGGGGCTGAAGTTGTTTAAAAAGTGGGTACAAATTAAAAGTTAAAAAAAAAATAGGTATAGGTTAAAGAGGGGCGACCAAATAGAGCGCCCCGTACAATTTTTACCTTTAAATCCTCCTTTTTCATACGCTTATTTGGCTCCTCCGAGGGTTTTACTTCCACATTCGATGGAATGGAAACCCTATCTTGACTCGAATTCTTCTCATCCTGCAAAAAAGATCCCAAAAATTTAATTTTATTCTTCACCTTTATATTTATAAAAAGATATGTATATACTCCTATAATTGGACTTAAGCGTTAAATATACACTAACAATGTAAAAGTATTTATACTATGAAGGTAATTTATGAAAATAGCACGGGCTAGCCAGTTTTCAGATTGGTAAGTGAAAAATAGTTAGCGTTTGCAAAGTTATTGAAAAATAGTCACTATTTTGCTGTAACACGGAAAATTCCAGCATAATATACTGGAAATTGGTGTACCTATGTATGAACTTCCAGCATATTATGCTGGAACTCCAACACACAGAAAGTTTAGCATAATATACTGGAGATTGGAGCACATGTGTATGAACTTCTAGTATATTATGCTGGAACTCTAGTATATTATGCTGAAAGTCTAGTATATTATATTGGAACTCCAGTATATTATGCTAGAATATCTTTATATGAAAAATGGCTGAATTTCGATTACTTTTGAAATTATGGCTATTTTTCAATTACCACTTGTAAATCTAGCTATTTTTGAATTTCACCCAGGTAATTTTAACTATAATAAGTATTTATCATAAAGATTTACTTGTAATTAGTACCTAATAAACAATTTACTTGTGTAAATAATTTTTATCACATCAATTGAATATAACTTAAATATTAAAATACATTTGAGTTTATATAATTAACGTAAGTCCACCAAAAATATAGACCAGAGAAAAAAATTTGGAAATTATAATTAATAAAAGTAGAACAAACCTTGCTGAGGAGTCCAAGTGACCGAGCATTACATGCATGGAAGAATAGAAGGAAAATCATTAGAAGAGAGGATATGGTGATTGACATATTTGCAAAGAATGATGCAAATTGTTGGTTCAAATTTGTATGAAAGATATTGATATTAACATACAAATATTTTAAGGAGCTAGCATTATAAATGATGATTTAAAAAGAAATTAGGAGTAAGAAGATAAAAGAAGTAGTCATAAAGACATGAAGATTTTCAAAGAGAAACAAAACCATAGTTCTGCTAAATATATATCAAGAAAAGAAACATGAAAAGAAGAAAGTAAAAGAGTCCAAAGAAGAGTTTTTCTCTTTGAATATAAAGAAAAAAATTGAGTAATTATTGAAATTTATTTGAACGACAGATCGCTCAAAATGTTAGAGAAACAAGAAAGCAAGAGCTTGTCCATTTTTGTTTCCATCGAGGTATATTTTTTTTCCACCCGATGTTCGATACTTGTGTTTAGAGGCGGACCCATAATTTTTACGTGACGGGAGCACATTATTCTGCTCAATCAGTGCCCCATAAAGGCTTTTAGTGTTCAGAGTACCAACTGCTTTAAATTAACTATTTTCAAGGTATATACTTATATATATACAGGATTTCAGAAGTTTACGGGGTCAAATGACCCCTCACCCATACACATGGGTCCACCTCTGCTTGTGTTGGGCGGATTACAATTGGATTTTCACTGAAAAGTCACACATTCCCTATAAAAATGACTCATACTCGGAGCTCGAACTTGAGACCTTTAATTAAGGACGAAGAAATACTTATCATTTTATTTGCAACCCTCGTAGGTACTGAGGTATGTCATTGGCCTTGTCCTTAATTGTAAGAAGCTAAACTATTGTTTTATTGGTTTTACATGGTTAATGTCTAGCTTTGTTCCACCACTTATACCTTGAAAATCATACCAAAAGATTATTTTAAAGGATAATGTCAAAAAGTGAGACACCTTTTTAGATTGACTAGGCACCAACATGTTTGCCTATTTTGCTTGTGTGTGTTCCTATCATGCTTCATTAACAGAATGTTCAATTAAATACTGTTTTATAAAATTTGTCATGGTTTTGCTATCCTAGAAAATGGTGGAAGCCAGTTCTATATGTTTGTAAAGACAACATCAAGCCAATT